TCTGAACCATGTGTGTATGTGGCAATGCGGTGAGTACGATCCTGGGTTTTACCATGCAGCATGGGGTTGCCCTTGTCACCCTCACTTGCTCGAACCTCCCGATAGCTTTCTTTTTGCTTAACTTGGCTGGTCATCTGATCGTGATAGCCCTGATGATGTTAACAAGGTTCGTTCCCGTTTAGAATTCCTGGGCCTCCTCCCTCTCGAATCTACGTTTCGGCCGGGCAGGCCACCTCTGGTGGCCGGAAAAGCTGCGGTGGCGGGGGACGCCTCATGCAGTTCGTCAAAATGATCTCTCTTTATGTAAGCCCTACACGTAAGATAGATAGATAGATAGATAGATAGATAGGTAGATATATATATATATATGTATATGTATATTGATAAATACATGTATGTACACGTGTTTAATGGTATGTGTATGTGCAACTATATACATTACGTATATGTATGTGTACACGCATATGTCTATGTATTCCTCCGCCCGGTGGATGTGGTGGGGTGTAGGGGGGTGGGGGGGTGCGTGGGTGGGGGGGTGCGTGGGTTGGGGGTAACCGCATACCATATGGGGGGGGGCCGTGAACACGAGACACAGGACCATGTATATGTACAGGTACCACAATGTAAATGTATATGTACATGTACATGTATGCGTATATCTGTAAGTCAAGGTATATCACATGTCTACACATATGTAAACTATGCATGTATACTGTATACACATATATTTGCATGTCTTTGGCTGTGAGTCATACAGACTTTTCGCATGTGAGTGAACATCGCCGGTTTGTCTATTCTGGTCACGTTTCGTGTGATAAGTGGAGAGTTCTGACTAGGGCCAAAAAATTTCAGACTGTTTTTGCAACTGCATGCGAACCGGTGATGATCCGCTAGACTTCCTGAGGCAGTTGGCTTTCATGGCAACTTCAAGAAGTTGGGACCAAAGGGAAATTGCCGATTGGAAAGACTGTGTTGGGAGTGCAGTTGGTTTTGGTTTCAAATTTGTCAATCGCAATGCTCCCAGAGTATATAAGTAGCATGCACAGTCACTCTAGTGTCTAGTCGTAACGCAGACTTTGCTACAGTGAGAAGGGTGAGTTGGTTCCCAGGAAACAGAAAAGTGAGTGAATGGATTTTCTCATTTTCAGTTTGATAAAATATTCCCTGTTTTCAACTCCGGGCGAGAAACTCAAAGGCTTTGGTCGGAGCTTGATGTCAAGCAGTCCGGCACGGTGTGGTCCTCAAGCAACGGGGAAATATCATCGGACATCAAGAGGGTAGCATGCTACATGCAAATACATACAATATATCCCGGTTGCTGCTGAGGTGTCCTTGATGGAAGTCGATAGTGAAGTGGGCAAATACATTCGAACCTTGGCAAGAGTTCGAACATAACTTTTCGATTGCTTGAATCATGTTTCTGATGTCTGGATTTGCATGTAGCTAAGGAACCTTCAAGGTGGCGCTGATGAAAAGATACGGTGATTTAGCTACGGCCTGGTTTCAATGTATCGACGTCAGCAAAGATGGACAGGTCCAGGAGTGGCTGGGAGAGAATGCTATCCTGGGTTCTGCTTGCAAAGACCAATTAATGGTCCACTGCGTGTTTGTTTGTCTCCGTTTGTATTTTTTGTGTCTGAAATCTGTATATCTGCATGTGTTACATGTGCTTATGCAAGTAAGCAGGCATGTATGGATGGGTTTGTTTGCCTGTCTGTCCGTCTGTTTGTCTGTCTATGTATCATCACTGTATCAATGTACTTGCCTACTCATGGTACTTTGTAAATCTTGTGTAAGTCATGCACATACATATACAATGCATGTAAATCTTGTCTTTATGTAACATCTCTAAGGCTTGTAGTGTATGCAATGCACACAGTATGAGGCAGTCTATACTGCGATGTGCAGCCTCGTTCCGGAATGAAGTAAATTGTCATGAGTCGACATGTGATGCAATGTGTTGTCGGCAGAAATACCATGTGTTGTAAAAAGAGCGTCACAGCATCACTGCAATGCAGTCTATGTAAGCTAATCTAAGGAACCTTGATGGAATGGAATGGAATGGAATGAAATGTAATGCAATGCAATGCAATGCAACGTAATGGAATGGAATGGAATGAAATGTAATGCAATGTGATGCAATGCAATGCAATGCAATGCAATGCATTGCAATGCAATGCAATGCAATGTAATGTAATGTAGTGTAATGTAATGCAATGTAAATGATGCGATGCAATGCAATGAAATGTAGTGTCATGTACTGTGATGCAATGCAATGCAATGTACTGTGATGCAATGCCATGCTAATGCCATGCAATGTAATGTGATGGAACGCAATGCAATGCAATGGAATGCAATGGAATGTAATGTGATGCAATGCAATGCAATGGAAAGGAATGCAATGGAATGGAATGGAATGTAATGTGACGCAATGCAATGCACTGCATCGCACGTACAGAATGAAGCGGACACGATAGCTAATTTGTCAATTCAATCATATTCGATATGCACGGGGCCATCAAAACACAAGGAAAAGGGTTTTGGCACCACTCAAAATCTTTTGTGTTGGCTGATATTCCAGATCAGACCAACACTTGTTTCAAAATTTCAATCTTGGCCAAAGCGGGTGAGGGCGCTTTTGCAAGGATTGAAACAAACACATACAGGATGCAGTGATGACAGCCAGATTGAGCCAAGTTAGTGAAGGACTACGGCATTTGCAGTTTACCAGTCTACAAGCTGAGACATGCAGGTATCAATGTGCGTTCATTCATTTTTTTTGCAGATTTAATACATCAGATCCATCTTCAGATTGTCAGCGTCATTCTGATCTCACCGCCTCACCTCTAGCAGAAGCAATGCCGACTTGCACATTGTAGCTGACTAGCTGAGTAAACAGAACAGGTGGAACTTGAACTGGATGAATACTGGATAAACTTGGAACAATTTTTGAATTTTGCTGTGCATGTGCAGTGCATGTCCAAAATCGATGGGATCGGCGGTCTTGGTTGGGCCTTGGGGCTGCTCCTGCGCTTTGCCACTTGGCCAGAATTCTGGAGAGCTGGAATCATAGCAAGTTCCAAGCAGTTCCAAGCAGTTCCAAGAAATTCCAAGCAGTTCCAAGCAGTTCCAAGCAGTTCATTTTGCATTTTTGTTTTGCTTGTGGAAATATACAATAAATGAAAGCCTTGTTGTATTCACAGTTTTCAGTCTGAGTCTGTAAAAGATGCAAGATATGCTGGCTTGATATTTGCATGGCTCACGATATTCAGCACCTGGATGATTGACCAATTGCCGAAAGTTTTTTGCCATCTTTCTGGCCCAGGGTTTCGCACTATGCCCTCACTCCGGACAGGCACTGTGTTGTGAATCCGAAAGAACACGACGCTTCGAATTTTCCTTTTTTCAGCTGGATTGTCAATGTCTCTGTACAATGTCAATGCTTCATATTCCCGTTCAGGTTGGATAAACAAGTGTCACGTTTTTTCTTGGGCAATGACATGCCTTTCAGTTTTATGTGCCTTTCGAACTTCAGGGCAAACCACCAATGTTTGGTGACTACGAGGCGTGCGCTGCCATGCAGACTGTTCATGTTGAATCAGTGTTATTGACTCCTCAAACGAGCTGTGAGTGAGCTGCTTTGCTTGAAGATGGTTTGAAGACAGCTTGGGGATGGAAGATAAGAAGATGATCCATCATTGATGCTGGTAATGGTGTGTCTGCGTTTCTGCTTGAGTTGTTTCAGTTTCCAGTTCGTTCAGCCATTCGTCCCAGTGTGACGTCATGTCTTGCCGAACGTGCTTGGTACTGGTGGCTTTGGCCTTGACGGCCTTGACCAGTGCAGAGGACGCAACTGGTCATTCCCCTGAGCTGACTGAGTTGCCAGATGAGAGGGGCTTGCCAGACACTCCAGGGCCATACAAAGAAGCGCCAAGTGACGCTGATGCCGAAAAGCCTGCGCATGCCATGCCAGCTTGGAGGTCCAAGGTTCCTAATGCCACCCAGGGTAGCCTTGGCAGCTTGGTGTCTTTGAAAGCTTGGCAGGACTATCAGTTCTGCAACGTTCACAAGACAGGTTTCTTCTGCGATGGCACCACTCGCATTCGCTGCTGTAAGTTGGAGGATGGCTATGCCAAATGCGGTTCAACTGCAAACTCAGGCACTTGTGCAGCCGAGAAGCCTGACTTATCCAAGCTGAAAAGCCTTGGGTTCTATAAAACAAGACAGGCAAGCAGCTTTTGCCAGAGACAGCTTCACGTCGGCACCTATTGCTACAAGCACCGCTACGTCTACTGCTGCAACTATGGAGCGGGAGTTGTAGAATGCCAACCTCAACACCAGAGCGGCCGCTGGTGCATGGATGTGTTTATCTAATTCGTTCTAGGTCTGAAATTGTAAAGTTGCACGGCTTGGTCGGTCGCACCCTTTGGGCGCCATTTGTACGACCTTTCAGCTGCACAGAGCTTGAAAAATCAAGCAGCTGAATTGTAAGCTTTCTCGCAGTTTGTGCACCAACCTGGTGACTGCATTGCTGAGCACAGAGCTCAGAGCTTGTTGGTTGGAGTTACTGCGGAAAACCACCTCCAAACCCGGAAGAGCAGTGGAAAATCGACGCTCCGGATTTTGTGTAGTTGCTTTATTGAAGCCAGACCAAAATCAAAGGTGGGATGACCATCCTCATGATCGTGTCTTGAAGATACACATGCATTCCTAGGTGCTCCAATCACAAGGACAGGCTATTTTCCCGCCTTTTTTTTGTGGTTGGTTGTGACACTTCTGGAAAATGCCCTGCTGTTTGGATGGCCATGTTGAATCAGTGTTATTGACTCCTCAAACGAGCTGTGAGTGAGCTGCTTTGCTTGAAGATGGTTTGAAGACAGCTTGGGGATGGAAGATAAGACGATGATCCATCATTGATGCTGGTAATGATGTGTTTCTGCGTTTCTGCTTGAGTTGTTTCAGTTTCCAGTTCGTTCAGCCATTCGTCCCAGTGTGACGTCATGTCTTGCCGAACGTGCTTGGTACTGGTGGCTTTGGCCTTGACGGCCTTGACCAGTGCAGAGGACGCAACTGGTCATTCCCCTGAGCTGACTGAGTTGCCAGATGAGAGGGGCTTGCCAGACACTCCAGGGCCATACAAAGAAGCGCCAAGTGACGCTGATGCCGAAAAGCCTGCGCATGCCATGCCAGCTTGGAGGTCCAAGGTTCCTAATGCCACCCAGGGTAGCCTTGGCAGCTTGGTGTCTTTGAAAGCTTGGCAGGACTATCAGTTCTGCAACGTTCACAAGACAGGTTTCTTCTGCGATGGCACCACTCGCATTCGCTGCTGTAAGTTGGAGGATGGCTACGCCAAATGCGGTTCAACTGCAAACTCAGGCACTTGTGCAGCCGAGAAGCCTGACTTATCCAAGCTGAAAAGCCTTGGGTTCTATAAAACAAGACAGGCAAGCAGCTTTTGCCAGAGACAGCTTCACGTCGGCACCTATTGCTACAAGCACCGCTACGTCTACTGCTGCAACTATGGAGCGGGAGTTGTAGAATGCCAACCTCAACACCAGAGCGGCCGCTGGTGCATGGATGTGTTTATCTAATTCGTTCTAGGTCTGAAATTGTAAAGTTGCACGGCTTGGTCGGTCGCACCCTTTGGGCGCCATTTGTACGACCTTTCAGCTGCACAGAGCTTGAAAAAAACAAGCAGCTGAATTGTAAGCTTTCTCGCAGTTTGTGCACCAACCTGGTGACTGCATTGCTGAGCACAGAGCTCGCTTGTTGGTTGGAGTTACTGCGGAAAACCACCTCCAAACCCGGAAGAGCAGTGGAAAATCGACGCTCCGGATTTTGTGTAGTTGCTTTATTGAAGCCAGACCAAAATCAAAGGTGGGATGACCATCCTCATGATCGTGTCTTGAAGATACACATGCATTCCTAGGTGCTCCAATCACAAGGACAGGCTATTTTTCTGCCTTTTTTTTGTGGTTGGTTGTGACACTTCTGGAAAATGCCCTGCCGTTTGGATGGCCATGTTGAATCAGTGTTATTGACTCCTCAAACGAGCTGTGAGTGAGCTGCTTTGCTTGAAGATGGTTTGAAGACAGCTTGGGGATGGAAGATAAGACGATGATCCATCATTGATGCTGGTAATGATGTGTTTCTGCGTTTCTGCTTGAGTTGTTTCAGTTTCCAGTTCGTTCAGCCATTCGTCCCAGTGTGACGTCATGTCTTGCCGAACGTGCTTGGTACTGGTGGCTTTGGCCTTGACGGCCTTGACCAGTGCAGAGGACGCAACTGGTCATTCCCCTGAGCTGACTGAGTTGCCAGATGAGAGGGGCTTGCCAGACACTCCAGGGCCATACAAAGAAGCGCCAAGTGACGCTGATGCCGAAAAGCCTGCGCATGCCATGCCAGCTTGGAGGTCCAAGGTTCCTAATGCCACCCAGGGTAGCCTTGGCAGCTTGGTGTCTTTGAAAGCTTGGCAGGACTATCAGTTCTGCAACGTTCACAAGACAGGTTTCTTCTGCGATGGCACCACTCGCATTCGCTGCTGCAAGTTGGAGGATGGCTATGCCAAATGCGGTTCAACTGCAAACTCAGGCACTTGTGCAGCCGAGAAGCCTGACTTATCCAAGCTGAAAAGCCTTGGGTTCTATAAAACAAGACAGGCAAGCAGCTTTTGCCAGAGACAGCTTCACGTCGGCACCTATTGCTACAAGCACCGCTACGTCTACTGCTGCAACTATGGAGCGGGAGTTGTAGAATGCCAACCTCAACACCAGAGCGGCCGCTGGTGCATGGATGTGTTTCTCTAATTCGTTCTAGGTCTGAAATTGTAAAGTTGCACGGCTTGGTCGGTCGCACCCTTTGGGCGCCATTTGTACGACCTTTCAGCTGCACAGAGCTTGAAAAAAACAAGCAGCTGAATTGTAAGCTTTCTCGCAGTTTGTGCACCAACCTGGTGACTGCATTGCTGAGCACAGAGCTTGTTGGTTGGAGTTACTGCGGAAAACCACCTCCAAACCCGGAAGAGCAGTGGAAAATCGACGCTCCGGATTTTGTGTAGTTGCTTTATTGAAGCCAGACCAAAATCAAAGGTGGGATGACCATCCTCATGATCGTGTCTTGAAGATACACATGCATTCCTAGGTGCTCCAATCACAAGGACAGGCTATTTTCCCGCCTTTTTTTTGTGGTTGGTTGTGACACTTCTGGAAAATGCCCTGCTGTTTGGATGGCCATGTTGAATCAGTGTTATTGACTCCTCAAACGAGCTGTGAGTGAGCTGCTTTGCTTGAAGATGGTTTGAAGACAGCTTGGGGATGGAAGATAAGACGATGATCCATCATTGATGCTGGTAATGATGTGTTTCTGCGTTTCTGCTTGAGTTGTTTCAGTTTCCAGTTCGTTCAGCCATTCGTCCCAGTGTGACGTCATGTCTTGCCGAACGTGCTTGGTACTGGTGGCTTTGGCCTTGACGGCCTTGACCAGTGCAGAGGACGCAACTGGTCATTCCCCTGAGCTGACTGAGTTGCCAGATGAGAGGGGCTTGCCAGACACTCCAGGGCCATACAAAGAAGCGCCAAGTGACGCTGATGCCGAAAAGCCTGCGCATGCCATGCCAGCTTGGAGGTCCAAGGTTCCTAATGCCACCCAGGGTAGCCTTGGCAGCTTGGTGTCTTTGAAAGCTTGGCAGGACTATCAGTTCTGCAACGTTCACAAGACAGGTTTCTTCTGCGATGGCACCACTCGCATTCGCTGCTGCAAGTTGGAGGATGGCTATGCCAAATGCGGTTCAACTGCAAACTCAGGCACTTGTGCAGCCGAGAAGCCTGACTTATCCAAGCTGAAAAGCCTTGGGTTCTATAAAACAAGACAGGCAAGCAGCTTTTGCCAGAGACAGCTTCACGTCGGCACCTATTGCTACAAGCACCGCTACGTCTACTGCTGCAACTATGGAGCGGGAGTTGTAGAATGCCAACCTCAACACCAGAGCGGCCGCTGGTGCATGGATGTGTTTATCTAATTCGTTCTAGGTCTGAAATTGTAAAGTTGCACGGCTTGGTCGGTCGCACCCTTTGGGCGCCATTTGTACGACCTTTCAGCTGCACAGAGCTTGAAAAAAACAAGCAGCTGAATTGTAAGCTTTCTCGCAGTTTGTGCACCAACCTGGTGACTGCATTGCTGAGCACAGAGCTTGTTGGTTGGAGTTACTGCGGAAAACCACCTCCAAACCCGGAAGAGCAGTGGAAAATCGACGCTCCGGATTTTGTGTAGTTGCTTTATTGAAGCCAGACCAAAATCAAAGGTGGGATGACCATCCTCATGATCGTGTCTTGAAGATACACATGCATTCCTAGGTGCTCCAATCACAAGGACAGGCTATTTTTCTGCCTTTTTTTTGTGGTTGGTTGTGACACTTCTGGAAAATGCCCTGCCGTTTGGATGGCCATGTTGAATCAGTGTTATTGACTCCTCAAACGAGCTGTGAGTGAGCTGCTTTGCTTGAAGATGGTTTGAAGACAGCTTGGGGATGGAAGATAAGACGATGATCCATCATTGATGCTGGTAATGATGTGTTTCTGCGTTTCTGCTTGAGTTGTTTCAGTTTCCAGTTCGTTCAGCCATTCGTCCCAGTGTGACGTCATGTCTTGCCGAACGTGCTTGGTACTGGTGGCTTTGGCCTTGACGGCCTTGACCAGTGCAGAGGACGCAACTGGTCATTCCCCTGAGCTGACTGAGTTGCCAGATGAGAGGGGCTTGCCAGACACTCCAGGGCCATACAAAGAAGCGCCAAGTGACGCTGATGCCGAAAAGCCTGCGCATGCCATGCCAGCTTGGAGGTCCAAGGTTCCTAATGCCACCCAGGGTAGCCTTGGCAGCTTGGTGTCTTTGAAAGCTTGGCAGGACTATCAGTTCTGCAACGTTCACAAGACAGGTTTCTTCTGCGATGGCACCACTCGCATTCGCTGCTGCAAGTTGGAGGATGGCTATGCCAAATGCGGTTCAACTGCAAACTCAGGCACTTGTGCAGCCGAGAAGCCTGACTTATCCAAGCTGAAAAGCCTTGGGTTCTATAAAACAAGACAGGCAAGCAGCTTTTGCCAGAGACAGCTTCACGTCGGCACCTATTGCTACAAGCACCGCTACGTCTACTGCTGCAACTATGGAGCGGGAGTTGTAGAATGCCAACCTCAACACCAGAGTGGCCGCTGGTGCATGGATGTGTTTCTCTAATTCGTTCTAGGTCTGATCGGGTTTTGATCAGTGGAAATGTCAGGAAAATCGGCGCCTTGTTTTTTTCCCCTCCTTGAGGCCCTTTTGCAACCCTGGGATCGGTACACAGATTTACAGAACGATGATTGAATGCTCTGCCTGCTCTGCCTGCTCTGCAGGCGCAGCGGCACTGGATGGAACTGACCACAGCTTTGCCATTGCTGCAGTGGTACGAGCCAACGGCAGACAATGACCTCCAGTGCCCAGGGGGCTGTAGGGCAGTTACCTTGCTGAGACCGATTAGGACTTGGCGTGGTGGCATTGGTTTTTTTTTCACAAGCAGCTCTATATAGCTACAAAATGCTGCAACAAGAAGCTTCCATAATCTGACAGTGTCTCACCCGGTCTCACCTTTATGTTCGAAAAACTGAACGGGTGTTGCTTGCTAAACCTTCACTTTGTGCACGAGCTGCCTAGGAGATGGAACAGTCTATAAAGACTACCGTAAGCAATAAAGTTTCTGTCACCTGCAAAGCTCTCGAGGTCATCAGGCAGATGCTGCTGATACAAGTTGATACCTTCTATATTTCATGCTCAACATTATATAAATTCAATTAAATTCATGAAATATATTCTATATGTATAATTATATCAGAATCATAATATTATATATATACTTGAAAATACATCAAATACTTATTTCCCACCCTCCGCTTAGCGCAAGGTACTGGGGCCTGGACTATCCTCCACTGATGGCTTTTCACTCCTGGTTGCTGGGGATGCTCGATCTCCAGAAGCCTCTGATCCAGAATGTTGAATGATGTGAAACTATGCGAAAAATATTATCATAAGTCACACACAATGACATATAGATTATGTCAAAGGGAACTAAACGCTAGGACACTTATCATGTACATATGTGATTGTGCATTGAAACGCCGTACTGGCTCAAGTCCCTGCGCGAGGAAAAGTCCGAGCTCCGCTTGCAATGCCGTAACGCTGTCCAAAGCTACCAGCATAACGGGTATCACAGCTCAATAACTACATCCAGAACAAGGATCCATTTGTTCACAGGTTATCAGCCGTAGGGCTCACTTCTCCCGCCGGGAGAGTGGTACCTGCGTGCTGGTAGCCGGGCCGTCTGAGCAATTGATTGAGGACGCAAAGGACCAATCAGCTCATCATCGCAAAGATGCAAGGCGGCAGCGGAGATTCGCGCACCACGCAGTTTACCTTCAATGAGAACGCTGCTATGCCGGTCGAGGAGGTCAATCAATCTTCCCCTGGCGACACGGCAGACAGTGGCGGGATACGCTCTACCCGAACTACACAGTCCGGATGGCAAGTCACATCAAACAGACGAAGAATATCCACCCAAAGTACACCTAGATCTTCTCGAAACAGTGCTCGGAGTGATGTTGTCCGCCAAGGGCATCGACCATCTCGAGGACGTACTACTCCAAGGGACAGATCCACCAGGGCCGTGACCGACCGAATTGGTGAGAGGACCGGGGATAGTCGTGTTAAGAGGAGATCAACGGATACTTCTGTGGCTAGTGAACCTATTGCCATGATAGAGGAACTACGGGCACAATGTCAATCCCTACGTAATCAGCTGAACAACATGGAAGCATACGCTGCATCCAGGGATCAACTGATTCATGACATCGAGATCAGATTCACTGAGTATCTTCGGGAACACAATCAGAATGTATTTGATGAGGTCAATGCACTCAATCATAGATTGTCGTGTTCCGCAAATGAGGTTGCAGAATATCAAGCAGAACTAATGGTAGCATCTCAGGAAGACGAAGGTGCAACAATACGCATCCAAGACCTTGAACGCCGAGGTGCCCTAATGGAACATGGTGCACGACGGATCCATCAACGTGGTATGGAGATCCAGGAGGAGTACAAGGATGAAGTACATCACCTTCAAGGACTACTGGGTAATACGGAGGCAAGACTACAACAACTTCATCAAACCAATGTCTTAACCACCGATATTGCCAATCGACTATACAATGAGGGTCAAGAAATGCAAAATGATTTCCAGAACTCAATCATGGAATATCGTAATCGATCTGAAATGGCATCCTTCTCTAGTAATCAACTTGAAGTGATTAGCCAACAACAATCAATTGCAGTTCATGAATTATCTGAGCGAAATCAGCTATTGAGTGAAGCTTTGGTTCAGTCTCGTAAACAGGCCGAGCTGTATGAGAGCAGTATTGATGAGATCACTAGAGAATCTAGGAAGAAGGTGTTCGAGGCAAATCAGGCCAAATTGGAAAGTGATCTGAAGCATCGAAACACTGAACATGATACCGTCAGAAGAATTGCATCATACAGGAACCAAGAGGCCGAAGCAATATCTCACCTGAGGCTTGAATCACAGGCTAGTGCAAACTCGATCGCAAGGGCAGAGCACTATGAGGAGCTCTATGCCAACGAGCAGAAGATGAACTGCGAATTGAAGGATGAGATCAAGTTGCAGAACACGAAGTTACGAAGATCGTTGACTCAGGGTTCTACGACCGACGGTCGTGGCCCCGAAGAGATGCTTGTTGAAGATCTACGTAATCAAGCTAAGATCGCTCAAATCAGGGTTCAGGATCTAGATCATGAAGTTCATGAATGTTTACAAGAGAACTTGTTGTTAAAAGAAAGGTTGACTGAAGTTGCGGATGTAGGGGCGTCGTCCCTCACCAATGCTGAGGTCCGAACTCTAAGATCTGAACTAGAGAGTGAGCGAAAATTGAAATTGGCGAGTGGTGTTCAACAATATGAGAGATCATGCATGTTCATGGGGGAAATCCAGGATAGGGATGAAAAGATTGGCATCAAGAATTCTGAGATTGTTGACATGAAACGTCACTTAGATGAACTGAGAAAAAGTCTCAAGGATTCTGAAACATCTATGGCTAGGATCAGTCCTGACACACTTCCCTATTCGGCAGGCATTCCCAACTCCGATCTCGCATCCAGACTGGTCATCGACAAACTGGAGAATGACGTGAGTGAGGCTAACTGTGAAAACGCTATTCTGAAATCTTGGGTTTCGCAGATCGACAAGGAGTTGACTTATGAGACAAATGTGGCTCATTCCTATCGTGGGCATGCTGTACCTCCTCAACAACAACAGCATTCTCAATCAAGCAAAAGAATCGCTGATCTGCTGAAAGAGGTTGACAACAAGATCGCTGGCGGAACTGAGAGGGACTATTACAAGCCACCGAGTGGATGGGGCGGTCCGCCTGACCCTGATGGACCTCCGGACCCTTTTGGGCCTAACGGTCCAGGACCACCTCCTGAACCTCCTGGTTTGCCTTCAGTTCGAGGATCACAACGCGATTCAGCAGATGATGTCTCCACAGCGGCTTACACTGCGGAAGAAGTACCGAGAATGTCAAGACGAGAGGCTGACAAAGTCTATGTTAGCCCATGGCCAAAGCAACAGAATCTTGGGGTTTGGCAATCAGATCTCATCAAGAGTGTTGTTCTTTCGGCAAATGACGGGGATAAAGCCGCATGGGAAGCATGGCTACAGCCGGCTATTCGACCAAATCCTGACATCGAGCTGTTGAATGACAGTGGGGGGCAACGGTATCAGTCCATCGACGCCAAGTTGTCAATTGCATTGTCAAACGTGATAGCCCAAGCCGGTGATGTTGCTCGTCATGTAGCGATCAAATTGAGATTGAGAACACAAAGTCATAGCCGAAGAGGAACCTATGTCATGGGACGGGAAATCTTGGCTATGATTCTGGAGCACTTCAGAACCCCAGGTCAACGAGAAACATCCTTCACCATGGAACACATCGTATCGATGAAGTATCTCGGTGACTCGAACCTAGAAGTGTTCTACGAGAAATGGATGGAGATGGTATCAAACATGATGCCGGATGACGTACCTCCTGATGATTGGCTTCGTGACGCTCTATACAAAAAGATTCGAAATTCGAGTCTTATGATGTTCGACATCAAGCAGTACGAGTCATGGATGGAAGGAGACCAAAGACGAAATTATCGCTACCTGTTGGATGTCATCGAAAGGCACATCTCCAGAATCAGAGAGGACAAGCATGTGGCAGCCAGAGAGAAGTATGCGAGAGACTTTGCAGGCGGCGGCAAACCTTCAGCTCCTGCTCCGAACCCAACTGCCGCTGCACCGGATGCAAATCCAAAAGCGAAGCCTAAAGCTACTCCCAAGGAGAAGGCAGCGCCCAAGGCGAAGGCCAAGGCCGATGCAGCTCCAGTTCTACCATCACCTCAGCCTAAACAGCATGCGAAAGGAAAAGGAAAAGGTCAAGGGAAAGGGAAGGATCGAGCAAACAGCCGAAGTACCAGCCCCAGATCCAAGAAGAAGATCCCATGCCATTTCCATTTCATCAAGAAAGCATGCAGAAAAGGCAAGGATTGTGAATACAGTCACGACCAAAAGGTATTTGATGCGAACAAGAATGCAAAAGGCAACGGTCGGAAGCCAGGAACTCCAAGAAGTCAATCTCCGGCAAACAAGACCAAGAAGATTGATGAACCATGCTGGCATTGGGCTAAGGGCAAGTGTCGGTATGGAGACAAATGCAACAAACGCCACGATCCTCATCTATTCAACACTGCTCCCAAACACTGAAGCACCAAGCTCAAAGGCTACTCCTGCACTTATCCATGATTGGAGTGATGATGAAGGGACGTTCCATAAGATTGCATCGAACGTGATCAAGAAGAAGATCAGATTTGATGAGTCTAAAACTCAAGTTCAAACTTACGTGAAGAAGGACTTCGTGAAGTGCAGCCGGAAATCCCAAACCATCCCCAAAGGTCATGGTAAAGTTGGCAAGCCCACTGACCAGGTAAGGAAAGACGAGCAATGGTCTTATTCATGCAGGTTAGCTTCGAGCCGAGGGAAAGCAATGGCTATTCTGATCGATGAGAAGGGTGAACACAGTGACATTGATGAAGTCCTGGTCATAGTCGGCCCTAGCATGGACATCCTGATCAGACTCGACGTCGAGGACGGTGAGGTGTCCAGGGAAGTTTTTGTGGAAAACTATGTTCAGCATATTGAAGGTCGATATGGTAAAAGGGGCAACACAATGTGTATCACTGTTCCTGTTGAAGAGAGAGATAAGAGATTCATATTGGATTCTGGAAGTGGCCATGATCTCATTTCATCCACACGAATAAGTAGAATGGATCTCCCAACATACGATGACAAGGTCGTCAACTTCCATACAGCAAATGGGGTAACGTGTTCGACCAAACGTTCAAGCATCAAGTTCGAGGCATTTAGCGAACCAGCAGAAGCTCACATCTTGGAGGACACACCCTCCGTGCTCTCCATGGGGAAGCGATGCGTTGATCTTGGTTACTCTTTTGTATGGCCGACCGGAAGAACTCCATTCATGTTGGATCCAAATGGCA